AGCAGCTCGACGAAGCCAATCTGCCACCAATCTCGTCACGGTAACTCGTTCAATATTGCCCGCACGTTCCTTAGCCCGCTCCCCTCCTGAGCGGAAATTCTAAACACGCACCGAGAGTCCTACGTTTCCTTAAGGTAAATTTTCTGAATTATTTTTGCCATAACGTGCCATTTAGCATTCGCACTTAACCCTCCATCCCACCACTCGTCCCGACAACCTGCTCCGTAGATCGCGTTCTTTATAGGGTTTGGAAGGTTCGCAATAAACGCAAATGGTTTGAAGGAAGTTCGAGGACTGAGCAGCCGGAGCAGCGAAGTCTGAGTGTGTTCGGAGTAAAGCTCAACCCTACGTGCCGAGCACAATTTCCAAGTCCGCTGCCTGCTCATTTCACCCAGAAAGCTCTGAATGGTACCTATAAATTGTTTTTGCCCAGCCATGTAGCACACTTCCTTTTACCGCTTTTCTTGGATAACTGCCAATGGAAATTGTAACAGGGAGAGAAATCAAGGGATCCCAAATAGCAGCGAAATCAGTAAGAGATTCTGAAAGATTCCCAACATTCCTCCAAGTTCTGAAAAACACCCTAAGGGAAGCGCCGGTAACTGCCGCGCTAACCCTCCTACCGTCAACCTGGGCTCGTTTGCAACCTCATTGCCTCTATTAACGACCCCCTTGATGGAGATCGAAAAAAAGCCGGTCACTGGTAGTACGTGTTTCACAAGAAACCTCAAAGGTGCATCCGAAAGAAGCCCATACGATGTTTTTATTTGATAATTTAAACTATTCAGCTCAATCACATATGATATGAGATTCTATGCGCTGATTCTACACATAGTATCTACTTTTGCAGGTAACTTTGATGCTTCAAAAAATCAATAAAAAAGGATAAAGCAGGTTGATCAACCCCTTTGGGATGCGGCACGCATTCTACTTCCATTTGTACATTCGTAGTGGCGTTTGAATGCGATGTGGCCTATACAATGACTTGCGGGGGCCAGCCGATGTACAAGTCAGTGTTTTTATCCTCCCACACAAATCTGGTACCAATTAACCGACCCCGGAAGGGATGGAAGACTTGGTTGTCCCGGATGACACACGACCCAATTACGAAATAAGAAATTAATTGAACGTAATAATAATTAAAAAACTGGTCGTCAAAATAAGGGCGGAAGTGGTGTAGTGGCAAGTGGCACGCTTACCACGCGAGCGGTCCGGGGATCAAATCCTGGGTCGTGAGTCGCCCGGGCCAACCAAGCCTTCCATCCCTCCGGGGTCGGTTAATTGGTACCAGACTTGTCTGGGAGGATAAAAACACTGACTTGTACATCGGCTGGCCCCCGCAAGTCATTGTATAGGCCACATCGCATTCAAACGCCACTGGAAGTAGAATGCGTGCCGCATCCCAAAAAGGGATTGATCAACGGCAAATGCTTTATCCTTTTATCCTAATGAAGAATTAATTATAAATAAATAATTAATAATAAAAAATAGAAATTGTTTGTTGTTTGAATTGCAGAAAATCTACTTGATAAAAAGGTTTGGACATACCGATTTGTTTCATGATGTATTAATTTTATAATTTCATTTTTTTGTTTATAAATTTGTTACCGTACACGCTGGCTGAAGGGTGTTTCAGCCTTCTGTGTTTCAAGCAGGTTGGGCAGAGGTCTTCTTACCAAAGGGAATAAAACCAACGTTCCGATTAATGACAAATAAATATGAGTAACCCAATATAATAATAAATGTTAGGCACTTTCCTTTCAAATATTTCAGCTCTCAACAATTGCCCGATGGCTCCAATCCATTCGATTATTGAACGAGCCGCCGACGCTACACATGATCCCGCAACTCAAATGCAGGCAATTCTTTTTTCTTGCCGTCATAAAACCTCTTCTCAAGAATTTTGGTTTTGGGCGACGTGCTTATGTCTGCTCTTTGAATGGACGCTTAGTTGCCTATATCAGCTTCATTAAAACCCACTGATCTGTGGGGTTCATAAGAGTCCTCCTGCCACCTGTAACCCGGGTTTTCTTCCTGTGACTTGTATACCGTCAGGCAG